CTGAGAGGACCTCCGCGCTTCCAAGCTGAAGGATGGCCATGGCCGAAGCAGCCCTCCTGAGACACCTGATTAAGCGCTTGATTTGTGCAGGACCCATCTGCAGCTAACTCCATTAAAAGCTGCTCTACCCCAGAAATTGCCCAATCTGCTGTGGAGTGTGAGGGATCTCTTCGCCGCTTTCCCCGACGACGCAACAATCGCTCGACGCACAAGGGCGAAGGATCTCATTGAGATCAAAAAACAAAAAGCCCTCAAGTGAAGATTCAGTCCTCAATGTCACTGTCTACTTCAATGACTTCTCTGGGGATCTCAGCCTTAGTTCGAACTTCGATTACATCTGGACGGGTGCACGTGTACAATATGTGTCTCCCTGTGCCGATTTGGCCACGGCTGCACCTGCCTGTGCTCTAGTATCCCGGAGAGACATGCACGCTCCTCTGTCCATAGTGCCTCGCACGCACAGCGTCTGACTCAAAACTGCTGATGTTCAGTAAGCTTTTGGCTGGTTTGCGAACAAATCCTGTCTCGCACCAAATCGCAAGTAGCACAGTGCCCTGGAGGAAACGATCGCCTCCGGGCCAATATGCATACTCATGTTGACGGTGGAGCTTTGTTTCCATCAGATCAAAAAGAAGACCGGGGTTAGTTGCCCCATGTCACCTTGCAGACCGTTGTGGTCCTTCCAGAGCACGGGGTCTGGGGCCTTCCAGCCAGCACGACGAGCTGCGAGTCACGCTCTTGCAAGGGGCCCGGTGCAGCCATGCTAGCTGTGAGGGTTGCTGGCCTTCGCCTCTCTCCAAAACTTACATACAGCAGCTCGATCGAAGCTAAAACTTGGTCTGGGTTCGCCTGGGCTTCCCAGACAATTCGACTCCATTGCAACGCTGGCGCTACTGCTGACCTTACAATATGATCGCCAAAAAGTGCTGCCTTAGCGCTGAGTCTCGTGCCTCCATGCAGCGGTGAGTTGACTCTTCTCGGAAGTCTGTGAAAGTGGAACCACTCCAAAGCGCTGAAACCCAAGACCTCGGTACCGAAACCAGCTCCACTGGAAACGCCAGTTCCTTTCAATCCTCTGGAAGGCTCTCTTAGCACAACCTGTTACAGAACGAGCCACGAGCCAACCTATTGTGTTTCCTGAGACGCACTCGCATCTTCTTGAAACGACTACGCTGCTTAGCTCTGAGAGAGCGTGCCCTTGGCGCACTCCCACGGGGGGGGATCCCCCCTTAGCTACCCCCCCTCCTTTTTGTTTCTGCCCCTCGGAAGTTACCCGCCCCCCTCAAATTTCGGGCTCCGGAAACTACCCCCCCACACTCCCTGTCCAAAGGGGGGGGGCTTACCTACCCACCCACCCCCTTGAACCTTCCCTGCCGGAAGCCCCCACCTGTGCGCAATGTTCATAGAAGCCTGCACCTCTGCTCGACAGTGGTTTGGTGCATGCATGGCGCTAGCCAGGATAGATGCTACGATAGCATCCGTTGCCATCATAATCGTTTCTGAAGGAGAGTTCTGCTACCATTGGTAGCCTCCCATGCCTTGCGCAACACTGCTGACCTCGACGCCCCTGTCCTTGCCTTTTCTGGCTCTCTCAAGTTCAGCGTGTCCAACGCATGCCGCTGCATTGTCAGCAGGTCAACGGCACTCCGTAAACCTGGCTGCCGCCCTCGAACTAGTCGATGCCGTTGGCGTCGAAGCTGAATAAACAACTGAGCAGGTGGAAGGCGAGGTCGAGGAGGGACGCAAGGCGCCACCTCCTACTCAAAAGACGGGGCACCAAACTCGTGGGCAACGAGCTGGCGAGAGTGGGGGGCCACGAGCCTTCGTCGGCACGCTGAGCAGATTCATGGGATGGGACATGATCAGCGAGCCGAAGGACACCCAGGTCGCCCAATTTCGCACCTCGCGCAGCGGGAGACGCGAGGCTTGGCTACCTTCCCTCCGCGCCCTCCAGCGAACCCCTGGAGAAGGGCACCTTTGTGACCCAGGCCGAGGAGCACGATCAGAGGCAAGCCCCGACGGGCGACCATGGGGCATGATGGTGCAGAGATGCTCGTGCGGGCCGCCGGTGCCCACGGCTAGCAGGGTTTCCTCGGAGCCTGGTCCGCTTGCCCTGGGCGGGTGGGAACTGGAATGCCAGGCACCTCGGCGTGCTGGAGACACCTCCCAAGCGACGACGTGCGCGAGAGGCCACGCTTGACACTCGAGCGAAAAAGAATAACGAGAAGTCTTAACAATGCGTGCGCGCGGTTGTTCCAATCCGCGTCGGCAGAGGATGAGCTTGAGGGCTCTGAGGCGGATGTAACGACAAAGGGTGTGCACATAGTGCACAGCAGCGGTAACGTCGCCGAATCGCGCATGGTCATGCGGGTGCCTTTAGGGACCTTGCAGGCGGCCCCGAAAACGGCACTCGCGCCATCCATGCGGGGCGCGCGGGACCAGTGAGGGCGTAGAGGCATCGCACCATGCAGCGCAGAATGCCAAGCGGAAGCGCCTGATGGAAAGAGCCAATTCGGCGATGGATGGATGATGATGATGATGATGATGATGATGATGGTGGTGATGATGATGATGATGGTGATGGTGATGGTGATGGTGATGGTGATGATGATGAGGATGATGATGATGATGATGATGATGATGATGATGATGAGGATGAGGATGAGGATGATGATGATGATGATGATGATGATGATGATGATGATGATGACGAGGAGGAGGAGGAGGAGGATGAGGAGAGGAGGAGGACGACGAGGACGAGGAGGAGGAGGAGAACGAGCAGCAGAAGCAGGAACACGAGAAGCAGGATGACAGAACGAGGATCATTGGGAAGAGGAGCAACAGCAGCAGCAGCAGCAGGAGGTCTGACAGGAGGAGGAGGAGGAAGAGGAGGAGGAGGACAAAAAGGTGGTGGAGATAGGGTCTGCCCAGGATGGAATGCGGAATGAGCAAGGCAGAGAGAGTATGAGGCGGAGAAGGAGGATGAGGTGGAGGAAGGAGCAGGAGGAGCAGCAGCAGGAGTGGGGGGAGGATGAAGCGAGCAAGGGCAGGGAAGTGCGAGAGGTGCGGTTTTCCCTGCGTGGAGAGCCCTGTGCTGCTTCGCACTGCCACCGTCCCTTGTGGCGGAGGGCAGGGCTACCAGCCCGCTACTCTGTCTAGCGGCAGCCGCGCTGGGCAACACACCCTTGGGCTGGGCGAGGGCGCAGGCTACTACGGTGAGGGCATGGGATGAGGAACCCTGAGATATGGAATCCAGGGTCTGGAAGCCGTTGGAACACCAAATGAGGCTTGGCCATGGATACTACCGCCGCCTTCATCAGATAAGGAATCCTCCAGGGTGTGATGCTTCCTGGACACATTCCTCAACGAGGGCGCCCACCGTATCGCATCGCCCTCTGCATTGAGACAATGAGGGTCGCGCCGTGCTCGGCCACAGCTCATGCCAGGGGGTCGTGCGGTAGACAGTGCTGGCTCGCGGTGAGCGCCGTATCTAGGCGCCACCAGTCGAGGGCATGCGGACGTGTGCCGGATGCCAAAACAGCCTGACTGTGCGACGCCCCCATCGGTACTGCCTTCCTGGGCTGGGTGGGAGGGCTCGAAGTGCCATCTTCACCGTGATGCTCGTCGCTACCGTCGTCGTGAGCATTGGGAAGGGGAGAGGAGGACGGGAGGGGACCCCGACGACTCGGGCCTTCGACGGCGTGACTCGTTCTCGGTGTGGGCCCCTGGAGCTCCGAGAGAGCGCGTTTCACGGGCGCTCGGGCGCGAAACATTCTTCGACACGTCGAGACCCAACGCCCAACAGCCCGTGCACTCGGCGGACCAGATCCCCCCCTTCACACAGAGCCCCCCTCTCCACGACCCCCCTCCCTTCTCGCGCAAGGGGGATGGTGGCCTTCCTGGCGCTGGTCTCCGTCGTCGTCGTCGTCGTCGTCGTTTGCCGTCTCCAGGGGGGATGGGCTCGTCGTCGCGTGCCTGCGCCCATGGGGGTTGAAGGGGGGGTCGAACCCCCCCTCGCCACTCTCCTCGCGCGAGGGGCGGGGGGGGGGCCTCCTAGTTTCCAAAAACAGTCGGGATGCTTGGGGAGGGGGGGGGCGCGGTTTGGACCCCCCTCGAGCGACCACAGAGCGCGATCTCTCGGAGCTCTCTACCTCATCCGTGGGGCTGCCTTCTCGGCTCGGGTCGTCTCGTGACCGTCCCGGGCCCGAAAAACAGGCCCCCTGATGCCAGAATTACTAAAAATCCTGCCGCTCGCTGAGTTTTCTCGACGCCCAGAGGGTTGGGGCCCTCCTCCAAAGACCTACCCCTGGAAATGTTCTGGGGCGCGCTCTGGCAAGAACCTCGAGGCGGACTCAGCCGTGGCCACGAGAGCGCCCCAGGAGGCCCAGAGAAGCACGGGAAGTGCCGAAGACCTCGCTCCTCGGCCCGCGCGAGCGGGAGGCGGGGAGTGCCAGCACAGGGCCCTCCTGGGCGCCCGACGGCCCAAGGCGGCTGCAGAGGCCCCCAAGACAGCGCTAAGACGGCCCAAGAAGCCCCTGGGAAGGCCACAAGGCGGCCCAGTGAGGCCCCCAAGACTGCCGCCGAAGACCAAGCGGCCCCGTACATGCCCCCAGGCAAGAGGCCTTTGGTGCGCGGCTCCAAAGGGGGCGCGGGGGGGGCCATACCTGAGCGCGCAATCCGCTGATATCGGATCGCATGTGCCCGTACCGAAGGTCACTCGGGCGAAAGGTCCCCAAGAGGCCCCCAAGCAGTGCGCGTCTCCACCTCCACCTGCAGGGGCGCTGCCCGACCACCCAGGCTTTCCGCTGTCGAGACTGCGGCTGCTGTCTTCAGTCGGAAGGCTTCCAGACAGAGGTCGCACATGGCAGCGGCATTGCTGGGAGGCTTGGGGTCTGTGCTGGGAGTGCTGGGGAAGGGCGGGGAGGTGCGCGAACTGCGTGGGCGCGCAGGGCTGGCAGGCTGCCCGGCCCCAGCGGCTGCCCCGGCGGCGCCACCGGACCTCAGGAGCTGCACGCGAACAGGCTGCAGGACAGCACGGCGCCCGCGTGCTGCTGCTCCTCGGATGGCCCGACAAGCAAGACGAGCACGAGATCCTCCTGGCACCTGCCTCCTCCTTATATTATATTTCTCCTCGCCCCTCCTCCTTCTACTCGTCCCTCCTCCTCCTCCTCCTCGCCCCTCCACCTCCATTTTCTGTCTTACAAAGGAGGAAGATGAGGATGAGGATGATGATGATGATGATGAGGAGGAGGAAAAAGAGGAGGAGGAGGAGGAGGAGGAGGAGGAGGAGGAGGAGGAGGAGGAGGAGGAGGACCGGCCCACCGAGGGGGCGCGGTCGTGGCCAAGACACGCCGCGGCCCCTAGGAGGAGGAGGGCGAGGAGGAGGGGGAGGAGGAGGAGGAGGAGGAGGAGGAGGAGGCGCGACCGTAGCTGAGACGAGAGAAGAGGACACGGGTATGTGCGCTGCCCGAAATGTCGGTCGATGTCCGCCCTACTTGGGATGCTGTGGCCGCCGCACTGGGGAGGAACGCGCCAATCTCGGCCAGACCTGAGGCCTCAGAGAGGCCCGAATTCCTTGCGTTCCCCGACGGTCCCGCGCGCATGAGCGCGGGAAGAAGTGATCGACGCCGGCAGCGCTCGGAGGGGCGAGCGCGGGGAGCACGAGGGCTTCCAGCCACAGATCAGGCCGACATCGGAACGTTCCTCCGAGGTGCCGACGGCAACATCTCGAAGATGGGGGAGCTCGGCCAACGCTGTCGCCAACGTCCACGCAAGCATGAGCTTCGGACGTCCGCAGACCCTGACCTCTGGACGTCGTAAGAAGATTCCAGCGGGCATCTCTGCTCCGTTGCTTGCCCGAGGTCCCTCACGGATGGGTCCGGCGCGAGAAGTGCTGCGGAGAGATCGGCCGACAGCGCCCGCAGGGATTCGTCATGACTTCGCTTGGCGGCGAGCCCGAAAAGACAGTGAGAGGGGGCGGGCCTCCTCAGAGCCCTCGCGCCTTCTGAGAAGTTCTGCAAGCCTCTCTGAAGACGCAAAAAACTGCTCAGAAGGCGGGAGGGATTCTGGAAGCCCCGCCGGCTTCCTGAGAAGGCCTGCCCCCTCTCACTCCCCCCCCGGGGCGCGCCGCCAAATGGTGTTTCTTCACGACGCAGGATCTCCAGAAACGCTGCATTCCTGCTGCCGCAGACACACACACACACACACACACGCGCACCCACGCACCCACCTCTCTGGCGCCTGCGGCGCGCAGGAGACGACGCCACCGGCGCTGGCCCGAGGCTGTGGGGAAGGGGGCCCGGGCCGACGGAAACCTGCCGTCTGCGGACGCCCGAGGTTTGGCTAATTACCCCGATGCGCATCACGCAGTCCGTTGCGTGTTGGCACGGAGCTCAACACGGAGGTTGAAGGCGTACGTTTGGCGCGACACGTTCGCCAAACCGTGGGCCAAGACGTTAAGCCAACACGCAGCGTGTTAACACGGACGTTTGGAACACGGTGCGTGTTGCATGTCAAAGCGGGCGTAGCAAGGCAGCTACGGTCCGAGGCTCCTCCCTCAGAATGCCACCAGCGGCGATGTCCCGGTATTCAGAGGGTCGCATTCGACAGCCCTGGCTGGTGATTCTTACGCACAAAGAGAACGCACAGAAACCCAATCAGGAAAAACATAAGATTGGCATCGCACTGGGTCTGAATGAAGTCCTAACAACGCCAAGGGAGGCAAACGAGCTCCTGAAGGAATTCGTCAGCCCCCTTGGGAGCCAAACGAATGCTCGGCTGCTGCCTTGTTCCTTCTTCTTCCTGAGAAAACTTGCCTAGAGTTCTTACTGATTATTTTGGTGTCTCCCACAATGCACGTGCCTCCCGTGAGCCTCGTGTGGGCTTCCCGTGCGACGGCGCACATTGCGCGACACGCGTAGATGCCAGGAACCTCACTCCGAGCGTGCCCGCTCGCGTCACTCAGCCATCACGCTGCCCATGTTTCTGCTAGGAAGCTCACTCCGAGCGTGCCCGCGCACTTGCGGCGCACACCGCGTCGTCAAGACTGATACCACGAGCCCTGCCAGAAGGCTCACTCCAAGCGTTTCTGCTTGCGTCTGGCAGCCATCGCGCTGCCAATCTCGTGGCCAGGATGCAAGCCAGGCAGCTCACTCCGACAGCGCCTGCGTCGCACACTGTGCCGCCAGCACTGTTGCCAAGAAGCTCGACAGGAACCTCACTCCGAGCGTGCCCCTTCGCCTGCAGCATCGAAGCTGCAGGCCAGGAAGCTCACTCCGAGCGTGCCCCCCTCGCTTGCGGCGCACACTGTGTGACCAGCGGAGATGCCCGGGAAGCTCACTCGCGCGGCGTGCCCGTGCGCGGGCACGACGCCATCGCGCTGCCGTGCGCTGCTGCCTGGAACATCACTCCGAGCGTGCCCGCTCGCTTGCGGCGCGGATCGCGTCGCGAGCGCTGATGCCAAGAGGCTTGCCAAGAGACTTGCCAAGAAACTGACTCCAAGCGTGCTTGCTCGCGTCCGACCGCCATCGCATTGCGAATGTCGCCGCCCAGCTGCAGGCCGTGAAGCTCACTTAGAGCGCACCCGCTCGTTTACGGCGCACATCGCGTGGCTAGCGCAGCTGCCAGGAATCTCACTCCAAGCGTGTCCGCTCGCGGTTGAGGCACATCGCGTGGCCAGCGTTTATGCCAGGAAGCGTGCTCTAAGTGTGCCCGCTCTCTCCTACCAGCCATCGCACTGCTAGTGCCGTTGCCAGGATGCGGACCAGGAGACCTGCGCGAATCGTGCCCGCTCGCTTGCGGCGCACATCGCGTCGCTAGCGTAGCTGTCGAGAAGCTCACTGTAAGCGTGCCCGCTGGAGGGCACGGTGCATCGCGTGGCCAGCATTAAAGCCAAGAGGCAGACTCCGAGCGCGCCTGCTCGCCAAATGGCACATCGCGTCACCCGCGCAGTTGCCAGGAAGCTTACTTCAAGCGTGCCCGCTCGCTGTCCAGGCACATTCTGAAAGCAGCCCCCAGCGGCGGCACGTGCCTACTTTTGGATCCCAGCACGCCTGGCTAGCGCACCAGCGAAAACAGGACCCTGCATGCACTGCCAGCTTGGGGCTCCCAGCCTGGCTGGCCAGCGCATGTGCGAAAATTGGCCATGGCGGTTGTCTCTTCCTGAGTTTTGGGATGCCCAGCCCGCCTCCAGCGGACTGGCGAAACAGGCCTGTGGCCTCCTGCCCTGTCCGCTTTTGGCTCCCAACCCCCTTGGCCAGCGCATGCGCGAAAGCAGGACCCAGCGGTTTGCTTCATATCACGATGTATGCCGTCCGTGCGCTGGGAGGGCGTGGCGAGGCTCTGCCTGGCATGCGGCCGTGGGCGCCTCGTGGCCGCCCCGTGCGCTGGTCGCGTGCGGCGAGGTTTCGCCTGGTGGGCGGCCGTGTGCACCTCGTGCGCGCCCCGTGGGCGCAACACAGCCTACGCCGCATAGCTTACTCCACACAGCTTGCCTCACACAGCTCGCACGAGGTAGCTTAAACTATATGGCTGAAAACACATGGGTTGCACCACATAGCTTTACCACCACATAGCTTGTGCCACATAGCACGCACCACACAGCTTGCACCACGTAGCTTGCACCACATAGCTTGCACCACAGGCCTTGCAGCGAATAGTTCGCCCCACATCGAGCGCTCGTCGCTTACACATCCATCGTGCAATAACTCCCTGTTCGAGGCTTTGCTCTGGATTTCGTGGGAGCAGCTCTGCTCTTGAATGACATGGCTCCCGCGCCTTCCTGCCCATTTGGGGCTCCCAGCCCACCTGGCCGACAGATCACAGCAGGACTCAGAGGAAGAGACCCCGAGGAGCGCGGGGAGCGCGAGGGTTTACGGGCTCCCCGCGTCGCCCCGGACCAGGCGAAATCGGCGCCCGAAATAAGCCGACCACGGCATCCCCAATTCTTTAGGTCACGCGGCTTCGCGCCTCGCGCCCCGCGATGCGCGACCCGCGGTCCTCTCCGCGCCTCCCCGAGGCTGCCTTGGAGAAGGGCGCATCTCCGGCCCACGGGCGCGATGCGCGAAGCGCGATTGGAGCGCATCTCCAACCCAAGGGGTCATCCTGGGCCCCCTGGGGTGCTCTGGATCCCCAGCGTGGTGGACATCGGTCGGTGTTCCGGCCAGCGCCCGAGTGCTCTTCTCGCCTCCGAACCTCCACCTCTATTGTGCTGACAGCGCCGTCGTCGTCATCGTCGTCGTCGTCGTCGTCGTCGTCGTCGTCGTCGTCGTCGTCGTCGGCCCCCTTCAGGGTCGGCAGCACCCGGCCGTAAGACCTTCGAAATCGGCCTGTGTTCTGGCCAGCGCCCACGTACACTTCTCGCTTCCGATCCTCCAGCTCCACCGACAGCGCCCCGAGGCTGCTGCAGCTGGTCTGCTCGAAAGATCGCCAATAGCGAGAGCGCCAGCCGCTGCTCACCCCGGGGATCTGCCATTCCGCCTCGCGGGAGTGGTCAGCCGCGGCCGCGTCCAGCCGGTCGGCAAACTCGCGCGCCTTGAGCTCCTCCAGCTCGGCGTTGCTCCTTCGGAGGAAGTAAAAGCGGCGGCATACATATGGTGTCGCTGGACCCCCTCCCTGGCGCGAGGTGCTGTTCCGGGGGCGCCGCCTGCTCGGCGTCATTCCTGCGGACTTTGCCCGAGGCGGTCGTGGCCCAGGAAGGTGCCAGTGCTCGCGCCACTCCAGAACACTGGGGCCCTCTGGGCCTCGCGAGGGGTGCTCTCGAGGCCACCCGCGCCTCGCAGGGCCATCTCGGGCCAGGGCCTCCTCTCTGCAACGCCCGTGTCCTCTTCGGGGCGCTGAGCGGGTTGAGGCTGGCCAGGGAAGCGGTTACACGGACCGCCTCCGCGCCGCTGTCGCGGTAACTGTTGTGCGCCTCCGGGGGCAGCACCCAGTCCAGGGACTCCCGCACCAGCGCGGGCGAGACCTCCTCCAGAGCGGCCTCCAGCCCCCGCGGCCTCGCCGCGACAGGCAGGTCGAACACTTCGTTCCATTCTGGGTTCAGGTTCCTGACCTTCACGCTCGTCTGCTGCCGGAACCTCGTGTCGCCCAGCTCCGAGACCGCTGTCACTGTGCAGAAGGGGTCGGAAGTGCCCCGCCCTTGCATTATGTCCATGCGCGGCAGGTTCTCCGCGCGGATGACCCTGACCTGCCAGGTGCACGCGAGACGCGAGCCCTCTGGCAGAGGCCGCTTCACGATGGAGTAGGTGAGCATCGATGTGCCCCTAAAAGGGACTGTGACCTTCGAACCACTGTCGCGCAACAATTTGACGGTCGTCTCAGGCGTCGGCTCGAGAGGAACTGTCACCGAGCCCATCCGGTCGTTGTCCGACATCGAATCGAAGTCGTAAAGGGTAAACGTCACGGCGGACCACCCCTCCGCATTGCCGAAGCGGTGCCTGTAGGCCCTGGCGGTCTCCCACAGGAGGCGGTCGACGCCGCCCACGTAGTAGCTCCAGAACTCCGCGCGGTCGTGCTGGTCTTCGTCCGACATCGCCATATGCTTCTCGAGCGTGTTCAGCTCGGACCTCTGGCAGCAGCACGCCAGGTGGAGTGGGGTGAGGGGGGCAGCCTCCCATGAAGGCAGGGCCTTCTCAGGACGGATCGGCCCCTCCCAGTGAGCTTCTCAGGAGGCTTCTCAGAAGGCCAGAGGGCCTCTCACAGGCGGGGTGCCGTCTCAGAAGGCCGACCCCTCTCGATCTGCCCCCCGCTGCGCGCTTCGCCGAGACCTGCCCCAGTCGAAAAGCTGCACGATCGTCGCAGACCGCACCTCCTCCTCTGGCGCACTGCGCCGCGGCGGCTCGCCGCAATCGTAACCGAGCGCCACGGAACTGCCGATCCACTTCTGCGGGACGGGGCACTGCCGGCACGCCACGGCGAGGCCAGCCAGGCGCCGGACGATCTCGTGGTGCGACAGCTCGGCGACCTCGACGCGGGTCAGGCGCTCGCCCACGTCCTCTTCCGGCCGCGCGGTGCTCTCCGAATCCTGGTGGGTGTCCATGAAGTGCATGAGCATCTCGGCGCCAGACATGCGCTGCAGCATGACGCGCCAGGCCTTCTTCACGACCTCGCCTCCTCCGGCTGTTCCTCCTCCCTCCCATCCTCCTGCCGATGCTCCTGCTCCTCCTCGTCCTTCTGCCGATCCTCCTTCTCCTCCTTCTCCTCTTCCTCCTCCCTTCCTGGCTTGGAGATCCCCCTCCTCCTCCTCCTCCTTCTCCTCCTTCTCCTCCTCCGCCTCCTCCTCCTCCTCCTTCTCCTCCTCCTCCTCCTCCTCCTCCTCCTCCTCTCGCGGACGTCCGATCCGATCCCATCCTATTCCTGCACGGGGCATGGGCGACCTTGCGGTCGCCCGTGACGCCGAGGTCCAGCATCGGGTCCATGGACTCGAGGCAGGGCGGCCGGCCGTCGAAACCCTCGAGGCGGAAGCCCTCGCAGCTCGAGTTGGTGACGCTGTCCACCATGCTGCCGCGCAGCGCGGCCATGCGGGACTTGCCCTGCCAGCCCGCCTGCGCCGTCTTCTGGCCGATCTTGATGTCCAGCATCCGGAGCTTCCTGAACCCGCTCCCGAGGTTCCTCATCACCAGCAGGTCTCTGGGCTTCTGCCTCTTCTCGGGAGGCGCGTCCTCCTCGGCCGTCAGCACCCCGAGGTAGTCCACGAGGAACGACACCAGGGCCGCCATGCCGCCCTTGCCTGCCTTCTCGCTCAGCGTCATCACCTCCTCGTAGAAGCTGACCTCGTCGGCGGCGTGGCTCAGGTCCTTTCCGATGTAGTAGTCGCGGGTGATGCCCCCAAGCAGAGCCGGGCTGCCGCTTGCCAGAGCGTCGGGATTTAGGACCAACTTGAAAAACGGCGCGGTTCCGCCTGCCACCCCAACGCGTCTGACTGGGTGCTGGAACAGCGCGGGGTCGATCCTCGTGAGGACCTCCCCTGGCAGGCCGCCATCGTCGCATGAGACCTTGCGATCGCACTTGTAGAGCAAGCCCTGCACGGTGATGTGGCCAGCGATCTCGCCGTCCAGCCTCAGGTCCAGCTGCCTCGTGCTGCCCACAGCGGGGGCGCAGTCAGAGTCGGCCGTCGGGCTTGCGGCCTTCCCGAGCAGGTCGTCCACCGTCACGCGGGCAACGCCCAAGCAGGTGTCCTTGTCCTTCGCTGGCAAAGCTTGGGGTTGCACACAGACAGCCGTCGGAGGTAGCCCCCGTTCGGGGAAACCAAAAGGCACTGATACTGCTACTCCTGGGACCTCTCCCGGGGTGCGTTCTGAGCAGGATTTCGAAGCGAATCCAGCGGTGGCGACGAGGGCCTCCCAGGAGGCCCCAAAAAGGGAAAACGAGAGAAGGGTAGCGGTATGGGTTCCTGTTCCTCCTCTGGCAGCTGGCCTCTACAGGGCCCCCCAAGGAGGTCTGGGGCGATTTTCCACCTTATTTTCCAATGGAGCTTACGTGACATTGGAGAACCGGTGGGTACCAGGCCTACGCTGGCTGGTCCTCCTCGGGTTGCTTCTCGTTTCTTGACTGTCTTCCCCAGGTTCACTGGTGTTGGTTCCTTGCACCCTAGCAGTGCCCAGCAACGCACAGCAACGCAAAGCAATGCAAAGCAATGCAAGGCAATACTAGGCAATGCCAAGCACTGCCCAGCAATGCCAATCAGCGCCCAGCAATGCCAGGCAATGCCAGGCAACACCACGCAAAACCAAACATTGCCAAGCAATCAGTGCAGAACAATGCCAAGCAAAGCAATGCCAAACAACGCAACTCAAAGCATTGTAAACTACTCCACTACCTTCCCTGCTTAGTTCACACTTACGCCGGGCTCATTCTGCTTGGACGAGGGAGGGAAGAGCCCCCAACCCCTCAAGAACGCTAGCCGACGGGGGTCGACGACGGGGGTCGACGAGGGCCCGAGAAGCGGCCCGAGGCGAGGGCCCGAGAAAGGCAGCAATCTCCACACCCCTGCCCCGCGGGGCACGGAGCGCCAGGGGATGCCGCAGGAGGCGCTCCGGGTGTGCCCGCGGTGCTGCCGATGGGGGCGTGGGAGGCCGGAGTGCGGGAGGCGACTGCTGCTGGCGGCGCGCACGAGAGGGCGGGGGGGGGGGGAGGGCTCTGCAACAGGAAGCTGCTCCCGAGAAGGCGCTGGCCCTACATCTACAGGCAAGGCCCGCGCCTTCTAAGGAGCAGGGGTGCTTCTAAGAAGCCGTCCCCCCCTCCCCTACCCCCCTCTGCGCGTGGCCGATGCTGGACTCACTGGCTGCAAAAAACAAAACACGACGTCAGCGTTTCTGTCTGCGACGCCGGTGGTGCTGCTGCCGAACGCGGTGGCTGGGCACAGTTGTTGTCGTGGCCCAGTGGACCTGCTCGCTTGAGGCGCTAGGTGCCGAGACTAGCCCTCGACTGCACCAGGGGGCCCTGCTGAGGCCAACTAGGGCAACCTCTGGAAGGCCATGCGCGAGCAGCCCCGAGCCTGGCCACGTCCTTCACCCAGAACTCGACGGTGTCGCCGCCCCCACGCCCAGAGTAGAGCTGGCCGCTGCAGGTGTGCTCCCAGTGCGGGTTCATATGCCCGTTCTGGTCGGTCCTCTGGGGGGTCGTGGAGCCGCGTGGTGACGGACCGCGCGGAGACCTCGGAATCCGCCGCACGGTCCGTCACCGCACGGTCTTGAGACCCTGAAAGCCCCAGTCGCCCGAGACGTCCTCGGAGAACGGCCCGAGTCCCAAAACCGTGCGGTGACCCCGAATCCCCACCGACTCGCCACGCGGTGCGGTCACCGCACCGTTTGGGGGCCCCCGATCCTCGTGCGGGAGCCCTCCCACTGGCAGCCCGCCGAGTCGGTCCACACCACGAGGGCGTGCGGGGCCATCCTGCCGACCCTGAGGCAGCTGCGGCTCAGCTCGGCCTGGGCAGGCCTCCGTCGTCCTGACCTGCTCGGTGCCCCGGCTCTCGGCCCCATGCCCGGGACCAATCGCTCGCTGTGGGCCGATGCTGGATGGCCCCAGGGCCCGCAAACGGCCCCCGCGACGCCGAGAGAACTGAAGCATGCCCGTCGTTTTTGTTTGGCCCCCTCCCCCCCTCCACGCGGAGACTGGAGGGCGGTTAGAGCCTTACCCATCACAATCGCGTCCGACCTCTCTCTCTCGGGGTGCGCCCTGACCAGGATCCCGAGCCGAGCCCCGTGGCTTCGAGGCCCTTCCCCCCCCGAAGCAAAACGAGATGACACGAGCGGTGCTGCTTGTCTGCGACGCTGGAGGGCTGGGCCTTCACGACCCGCACCACGACGAGGAGCTCGCCCTCGCCCTCCTTGCCGGCGACGGTCCCCGGACGCCTCGAGCCGAGCAGGACGGGGCCCGCGCTGCTGGGCGAGGCCGCGGCCGCGCCGCCGCCGCTCTCGCCGACGGTGTCGGCCTGCACGGGGGGGACGCCGACCACACACCAGCACCGATCCTCCACCATGGAGCAAGCGGGCACCGAGGGAGAAAGCTCCCGAAAATCTCCGCCGGAGAAGGGCTGGTCTTCGGAGACGCCCCCGGGCCCAGGAGGCCCGTTTCCCTCAGGACTCCTCCCCTCATGGCAAGTCCTGGCCATGGCCCATCCTGGGCGCAGGATCGCTCCGATACGCAGCGCGCGACCCGTGGCGTGTTGAGACGGAGCTCACCTGGCAGATTGAACACGTGGGTCTGGCGCGATACGTTCGGCAAGACGTGGGCCAACACGTGCCGAGCCAATACGCACCGTCTTAACACGGACGCTTTGAGCACGGCACGTGCCGAGCTTGAGCACGAGCGCATCAGGACATCTACGCTCCGGGCTTGGCCGGGAAGGCGTATTCGACAGTCCTGAGCGCACAGGGAGTCCATCCAGGGAGGGTGTTGGTGCATCTGGTTGGCGCCCCCCGACCTGTGGATGCCGAGGAGCCCCTCCTGGGAGGCGGCAAGCTTTGGCGGCGCTCAAGCCCAGTAGGTAGCTGCCTCCGAACCCTACCCCCACCAACCATCGATTTTCTCCTGAGTCGATGGGTGGCGGAGTAGGGGGTCGGATTTCGCCACGTGCGCGACGCACTCCGAACCCTGACCGCCGCCGCCCGTCGAGTTCCCACACTCGTTGATCGGTAAGGGCAGGGTTCGGACTTCGCCGCCGACCCGAACCCCCAGGCGTCGCCGAACAGGCACGACGGCCGGTTCTCGGGCCCCACCGAACAGGCACGACGTCGCCGAACAGGCACGACGACAAGACAACTCGCCGCTTGGGCCCTACCGCGAGCTCAAATTGCGAGAACAAATCGGGCGCAGCACCGCAGAAGCCACCAGGCGGCAACCCACCCAGAAGGTGCACCAAAGGTGGCGCCACCCAGGGTTGCGCCAGAAGTTGCGTGCGCAACCCTGGGTGGTGCCACCCAACTGCGCACGCAACTTCTGGCGCAACTCTTGTGAAGACGCCAATTGCACCAGAAGGTTGCGCCAGAAGTTGCGTGCGCCATCTGTGATGAAATTACCATTTGCTGCGCCAGAGGTTGCGCCATCCACGGTGTACGCCATGGTTTCTGCCATGGGGTGGCGCACTCGGCGGCCCGACATGAAGCAGTTATCGGCTGAGCCATCGACTGTGGACTCATCGGCCGAACACAAAAGAGGCTGACATTGGGTAAGTGCGCCACGGGTTGCGCAGTCGGCGGCCGAACATACAGCGGCTTGACAGTGATGGCGCCATAATTTGCACACTCGCCAGCCGAACAAAAAAACACCTGATTTTGGTTGGGCAATGTGTTGCGCAGCTGGCGGCCGAACGTGAAGCGGCCCGATATCGGTTGCGCCCGAATCTGTGGACTCGGCACCCGAATATGAAGTGCCCTGCTGTTGGTTGCCTTATGGGTTGCGCACCCGGCGGCCGAACATAAAGCTGCCTACTAGTGTTGCGCCATATGCTGGACCCTCGGTGGCCGAATTGAACACGGTATAGGTTGTGCCATGAGTTGCGCACCCAACGTTCGAACACACACACACACGTATATATACACATGTATATGAATAGATAGGTTAATACATGTTTTATGTGTTTGTGTATGTACAAGTGTCAGGATGCACATATATCAGTATATGCATAGGCATAATTACATGCACATGTACGTGTATTATATTCATATGTGTACGTATATTCATACGGGAATGTATATGCATGTGTGCATCTATATGTACGTGCACATGCACATGTATAGGCATTTGCATCTGCATAAGTATGTATGATTATGCCAAGGTGCATTTGCATGTGTATGTGTACTGCATGTGTATATGTTTATGTACATGTACATGGTTGCGCATGTGTACATGTAAGTGTGTATGTATATGCAAATGATTTGGTGCATACGTAAGCACATGCATAGGCACGTGCGTATGCGTATGCATATGCATGTTGATGTGACTATAGACGTACACATCGGTATGTCCGCCGTCGTGCTCCTGGGCACGGAAACGGCGTGTTCTCAGGTCCGTCGCCTAAGCCTCGAGGCCTCAATCCTCACCCCTGGAGAGTCTCCAAGGGGCCCAGATCCAAACTTCCGAAGTTTGGCGGGGCTTGCCACGTGCCTCCTGGGCTTCGCCAAATGGTGGCGCGTCAATGTTTGCGAGGGCCCCAAGACGGGCCACGAAGGCCCCAAGAGGCCCCGAGGCAGCCCAAGAGGGTCCCGAATCGCCGAAACATCGGCCCAAGACGCCCGAGATGGCCCCCAGCCGGCTCAAGAAGCCTCCAAAACGCTCCAAGATGCCTCCAAGAGGCCTCCCAAGAAGGCCTCAAGAGGCAAATCTCATTGAGTTTCCTTCGGTGTTTGAAAGATTTGGGCGTTATCGACTTCTCTGTTTTCCGACGCCCCAAGTCGGCCCAATAGGCCCCCAAGACCATCCCAAAACGCGACCGCGTGTTTGTGTGGCCGGTTGGGTGTTTGTGTGGCCCGTTCCGTGTTTGTGTGGCCCGGCGCGGGGCCGGATGCGTGTTATTGTGGCCGGCTCTGGCCCGTCAATTAAACATAATGTGTAAATGCTGCCTTCGTTAGGTGAAAAAACCCAAGAACACTCTAAGGGGGTTGCACTCCCGCCCAGACAATAGTGGCCACAATAGCTCCCATCTTGATGCGTGCTGAAAGCAGCTTGATAATAATAGTCATTGTGATGGCGGACGACTAATCGAAACAGTAACGTTAAACGTACTAGTATTACTATTAGTGGCCGTAATAGTAAGTAGTAGTAGTAGTAGTAGTAGTAGTAGTAGTAGTAGTAGTAGTAGTAGTAGTAGTAGTAGTAGTAGTAGTAGTAGTAGTAGTAGTAGTAGTAGTAGTAGTAGTAGTAGTAGTAGTAGTAGTAGTAGTAGTAGTAGTAGTAGTAGTAGTAGTAGTAGTAGTAGTAGTAGTAGTAGTAGTAGTAGTAGTAGTAGTAGTAGTAGTAGTAGTAGTAGTAGTAGTAGTAGTAGTAGTAGTAGTCGTAGTAAAGTCGTAGTAGTATAGTAGTCTAGTAGTAGTACTAGTAGTAGTCGTAGTAGTGTAGTAGTAGTAGTAGTAGTAGAGTAGTAGTCGTAGTAGTAGTAGTAGTAGTAGAGTAGTAGTAGTAGTAGTAGTAGTCGTAGTAGTAGTAGTAGTAGTAGTAGTAGTAGTATTAGTAGTAGTAGTAGTAGTAGTAGTAGTAGTAATCGTAGTAGTAGTAGTAGTAGTAGTAATAGTAGCACTAATAGTAGTAGTAGGAGTAATCGTAGTGGTATCGGTAGTAGTAGTAGCAGTAGTAGTCGTCGTCGTAGTAGTATTGGTAGTCGTAGCACTAGTAGTAGTAGTAGTAGTAGTAGTAGTAGTAGTAGTAGTAGTAATAGGAATCGTGGTAGTACTAGTAGTAGTAGTAATAATAAACGTACTAGTAATTACAGTAGTAGTCGCAGTACTCGTAGTAGTAGTAGTAGTAGTAGTAGTAAACGTACTAATAGAAGCGGCCAGAGTGGTACTAGCAATGGTGATAGTACTCGTAGTGGTAGTAGTAGTAGTAGTAGTAGTAGTAGTAGTAGTAGTAGTAGTAGTAGTAGTAGTAGTAGTAGTAGTCGTAGTCGTAGTAGTAGTCGTAGTAGTGGTAGTAGTAGTAGTAGTAGTAGTAGTAGTAGTAGTAGTAGTAGTAGTAGTAGTAGTAGTAGTAGTGGTAGGAGTAGTCGCCGTAGTTGAAGCAGTGGTGGTATTAGTATTAGTAGAGGAGTCGTAGTCGTAGTCATCGCAGTAGTTGAAGTAGTACTGGTACCAGTACTAGTCGTAGTAGTAGTAGTAGTAGTAGTAGTAGCAGTAGTAGTAGTAGCAGTAGCAGTCGTAGTAGTAGTAGTAGTAGTAGTAGTAGTAGTAGTAGTAGAAGAAGTAGTAGTAGTGTAGTAGTAGTAGTAGTAGTAGTAGTAGTCGTTAGGTCGTAGTCGTAGTCTAGTAGTAGTGGCAATAGTAGTAGTAGTGGGGGAGTCGTAGTCGTAGCCGTAGTAGTAGTAAGTTAGTAGTAGTAGTAGTAGTAGTAGTCGTAGTAATAGTAGTAGTAGTAGTAGTAGTAGTAGTCGTAGTTCGTAGTAGTAAGTAGAGTAGTAGTAGTAGTAGTAGCCAGAGTAATACAGCCGTAGTAGTTAGTAGCAATAGTAGTAGGCGTAGTAATATTAGTAGTAGTCGTAAGGTCGTAGCAGTAGTAGTAGTAATAGTTAGTGTAGTAGTAGTAGTTAGTAGTAGTAGTTAATAGTAGTAGAGTCAGTAGTAGTAGTAGTTAGTAGTAGTAGTCGTAGTAAAATAGTCGCCGTAGTAGTAGTAGTAGTGGTAGTAGTAGTAGTAGCAGTAGTAGTAGTAGTGGTAGTAGCAGTAGTAGTAGTAGTAGTAATAGTAGTAGCAGTGGTAATCGTAGTCGTAGTCGTAGTAGAGAAGGAGTCGTAGTCGTAGTCGTAGTAGTAGTAGTAGTAGTAGTAGTAGTAGTCGTAGTAGTAGTAGTTGTAGTAGTAGTAGTAGTAGTAGTAGTGGTGGTAATGGTAGTGGTAGGAATAGCAGTAGCAGCAGTAGTAGTGGTGGTAGTAGTAGTAGTAATCGTAGTAGTAGTAGTAGAAGTAGTAGTAGTAATCGTAGTAGTAGTAGTAGTATTAGTAGTAGTTGTAGTAGTAGGAGCCGTCGTAGTCGTAGTAGTAGTAGTAGTAGTAGTAGCAGTAGTAGTAGTAGTAGTAGTAGTAGTGGTAGTAGAAGTAGTCGTAGTAGTAATAGTAGTCGTCGTGGAAATAGTCGTAGTAGTAGCAGTAGTAGTAGTAATGCTAGTAGTGGTAGTAGTATGAGTAGTAGTAGTAGTCGTAGTAGTAGTAGTAGTGGTAGTAGTGGTAGTAGTAGTAGTAGTAGTAGTAGTAGCAGTAGTAGTCGTAATAATAATACTGATAGTAGTAGTAGTAGTAATAGTAGTAGTAGTAGTAGTAGTAGTAGTAGTAGCAGTAGTAGTAGTAGTAGTAGTAGTAGTAGTAGTAGTAGTGGTAGTAGTAGTAGTAGTAGTAGTTAATAGTAGCAGTAGTCGTAGTAGTAATAGTAGTAGTACTAGTAGTAGTAGTCGTAGTAGTAGTAGTAGTAGTAGTAGTAGTAGTAGTAGTGGTGGTAGTAGTAGTAGTAGTAGTAGTAGTATTGGTAAGCGTAGTAGTAGTAGTAGTAGTAGTAGTAGTAGTGGTGATAGTAGCAGTCGTAGTCGTAGTAGTAGTAGTAGTAGTAGTAGTAGTAGTAGTAGAGTCGTAGTAGTAGTAGTAGTAGTAGAGTAGTAGTAGTAGTCGTAGTAGTAGTAGTAGTAGTAGTAGTAGTAGTAGTAGTAGTAGTAGTAGTAGTAGTAGTAGTAGTAGTAGTAGTAGTAGTAGTGCAGTAGTAGTAGTAGTAGTAGTAGTAGTAGTAGTAGTAGTAGTAGTAGTAGTAGTAGTAGTAGTAGTAGTAGTAGTAGTAGTAGTAGTAGGTAGTAGTAGTAGTAGTAGTAG